TGCTTTGCAGGTGTGCAACCTAGAACCCGATTGTGTTCAGCATGATAAAGTCCACAAATCAAATACTTAAGAAGTGGGGCATTGTGCTCGAGAATTAGATAATCATAAGAGATGTATTCAGATTTAGGTTTGGGAATAATAGTACCTTCGTTTGAGACCTTTGTGATAACATTATCACCTTCCTCAATAATGTTACATACCTGATAGTTGTCAGCCTTGATAAAGTTCTCCATGAGGCTTTTCCAGAATTGATATAACTTGCCATTGAACACTGAGGACATTGGGTTGAATTTTTTTGTGAATGTTTTTTTTGTCCCAAGAAGCCACAGTGGTGGGGAAAGAGCGGGAACACTTTCCAAAAAATATTAAAATATGAAGTTACAAAACATAGTTCAAACATAAAATACAAGAAAAAGCACAGAGAGAAAGTTTAACATGTAAAGTTTGCAGGCACACAGACAGTTGTTGAGAGCGTTTGGTTGTATTTATTGTGAAATAGGATGGCCCTTTGCAGATATGGAGGGTAAGTTTTTGCCTCTGGGTGAGATGACTTATGACTTTTGAGTCATGTTACAAGCTTTTATGCTGAGTCATAGTTTGAGTAGATCGGATAGATATAATCGTCCTCTTCATCTTGAAGCAATTTTGATTGACTTCTGGTCATCAGGTGGTCCTCGGAGGAAATTCCCAAGGTAACATATTCCTTAACATATTCCAAAACTAAGTCTTGGGCCTCTTCCTCACCTTTTTCCTCTTGGGAGGCTACCAGGTGATGGAGTATATGGCCCAGGAACCCCCCGGCCCACATACTTCCACTATTACATTCAGGCCCAACAAGCCCAGAACGGGCCAAGCCCAGCATAATGAAGCTCTAGGCAGGCCACGAGGCATGAGGGAGTGCCTTCGGCCCCATGGCTGAAGGCCACCAGTGACAGAATAGGGCTCAGAAACATCGCAGAAGAACAAGGCTTAAAAACCAAGCCTTCGGCACTAGGAGCCCTCGGCACTATGGGACCCCCGGTACGCAGAGCCTTCGGACTGCCATCTACAGCCGAAGGCATCCTCCACGACAGAATCTCTCATTCGCATGCGCTGGATCAACGTACCAAGTACAAACGTCACATCCAATCACTGCATTTAATGCAGCCACTTGCGAGTGCCGGTGCCGCCCCAGTTGAGGTGACCCCTCGACCACCAGATTGTTGACACGTGTCCCTATCTAGCATTTTTTGCTGCTATAAATAGCACCCCTTTCCCCATTTGTAAACCACGCTGAATTCACATATTGAATACTCACTCTCTCTCTCTTACTTATTGCTCTGACTTCTCTCTAATTACTCCCCGCAGTAACCCCTCGGATAAGCTACCCCCCGGGTACACTATCCATCATTTGGTGCTCTCGTTGAGATCTCGAACAATCAAGTAAGAAACCCTCCCCTTCAACTAAAAACACCTACCAAAATGGGAAGAACCACTTGTGCTCAGTCCAAGAACCTTGATGAAAACAACCTGGCCCTCGGTGAAGTCAACGCCCCCGGAGCCTCCAACAAGGCTCCTGAGGGCGGGGCCATCACTGAGTTGGAACAGGCTGCTGTTGACCTACGCCTTCAGCTTCAGCAAAACGCTTCTTACGCCCGTCTTGGCATCGAACCCCGAAGGAGGGACCGGAGTGAAAATCAAGTGAGCCCTCCGATTCTCACTATCGACGTACAGTCGGCATTCTCCGCCTTCATCCAAACATTAACGCAAAACCCAGGTGCCTTCGGCACTCTGGTGCCACTTCAACCCCAGATTGGAGAAAACGTCGTACCTCCACCGCCCCGCCCCCCCTTCGTAAAACCTATCATTCAGATTGGGAACGACGAGGGGGTTGTGGCCCAGGACACCGCCTCCCAGGAGGTTCAATCCCGGGACCGCCATGGCGCAAACAAGGATAGGCCCCGGACCTCCATCCTGGAACGGCTCGGAGGGGCACAAGACCGCCAAGGGGTCCAAGACCGCCTCGGAGGAAAGGCGCTCCAAAGACCTCAGGAAAGCGGAGGTTCCGTCTCAAGGGCAGACGAGAGGCGTCCCCCTCAAGACAAAGGCAAGGCACCACTCCGAGCCGATGACGCAAGACACCAAATCAACCAGGCCCACTCGGCCCGTGTTCGTTCGCAGGTGGCGGAGGCCCTCTCGAAGGATCACAGGGACGAAATCATTGAAGCCCTCCAATGCCGCCTTGACGAGATGGAGGCCCGTCAAGCGCACAAAACAGCTTCCGCCCCCCAGGCGGACCCCAAATACACTGCCATGCTGGCCAAAATGGAGGAGATGCAGAAGAAAATGGCCGAGGGCTCTGGGGAACCCGTCATCCAACTCCGGACTAGGACGCCATTTACCCCAAGGGTATTGGCGGCCCGAATTCCGGAAAAATACTGGGGGCAACCTATCAGGCCCTATGAAGGAAAGACAGATCTCCAGGAGCATTACAGCAAATATCAGAACAGTATGATGATGGGGGGGCATCGGACGAATATTTGTGTTGTTGGTTCCTCTCCACCTTAGAGGGACCAACATATGAATGGTTCAACCGATTGCCCGAAGGCTGCATCGATTCATGGCACGAACTCGCCCAACGTTTCTGGACGCAATTTGCGGGGAGGCGCTGGTCAAGGAAACACTTCTCCCACTTACTGACGGTGAGACAAAGAAAGGAGGAGACCCTTCGGGACTACTTGGAACGTTGGAGGACGGACGCAGACAAAGTTGACGGTGCTGACGATGGGACCCTCCTGGCTCTCCTTCAAACCGTCCTTCGCCCCGGGAACTTTTTAAGGAGCCTCATCATCGAACCTCCCCGCGATTACATAAGGGCTCTACAATGGGGGGACCGATACGCTGAGGTTGAGGAAGTGGAAAAATGTCATCACAACCCCAATCAGCAACGCCCTCGGCCAGATGACAAGGGCAATCGGGGGCCGGGGGCTCCCCCAAATCAATCCAAAGGCTCAACGCCCTCCAGTGATCGCCCCCGGCATGGCCAAGCCAAGCCCGGGGGAGGTTACAGGGGAAACCTGAAGGCTTGGGCCCAGCCCATTCTCTTAAAGCACCCTCGGACGCCCTTGACACACCCCATCAGTGTCATCCTAGACTTCGTGATAAGTCCGTATTTAGACACGCATTTGATGCGTGTTGAGATTGGATTTTGATGTTTTTCCTAGCTTTAATGTGTTACAAGTCTCAATTTTAGCTCAAGTTATGTTTAACAGGCGTTGGTTCGAGTTTTGTGTCATTTGGAGTCAAAATGAGGATTTTAGAGTTCGGCACCGGCGCTTGAGAAGAAATCAGGATGAGTTGAGAAGCATTCGAGAGTGAATTGATAGATTTGGAGGTCACCGGGACGTTCACGATGAAGTTTTGACGACAAGAGAGCTCTAGGAATGGCTACGGGATCAAAATAAGATGAATGGAGCTTGAAATCGGCGATCAGGATGACCTTCTGTCAACCGTTCAAGCATATCTCTTTGTAGAAACATTCAATGTACACGACTCAAAGTCCATATGAAATACAACTTCAAGGGATACAAATCATATGAAGAAACTATTGCGAGAATCTGAGAGGAAGAAGGTGAAACCAGACGATGAAGTCGGATGATCCCTGTTGCGATTTAAGAATGAGACCTTCCACCATTTTGATCATATATCTTTCTTAGGTGATTCAAATCTAATTCCACAAATTGGGGTGGATAGAGGACTTCATTATAGACAACTTTTATGAAGGAAGCATTTCCAAATTCCAGGGGGTCACCCATCCCAAGACTACTCCCGTGCAAGCACGCTTAACTTTAGAGTTCTTGGCTAATGAGCTCCCTTAAAAGGAGATGCACCTTGTTGGTATGAGTAGTACTATTAATCCTCTTAAATTAATCTCGGGTATTACATTAATCTCGATGGGGGATCCAATGGTGTATATTGTTGCCTCCACATAGGCCAAGCCTTGCCAAGAAACCAAGTTTCTTGAAGCCTTCTCTTCATTGCAAAAAAAAAACAAAAAAACAAAAAAAAAATGGACTGAAAGGGAGTAGACTCAACGAGCAATCGACGAGTACAAACTCCAATAAAATAACTTTCGGCAGCTACCAAGAATGCTCCTCACAAGACATTCCAGACAATACCGAAGGCTTCCCTAGGGAACACCTCCGGCACCTGAAAGCTATTCAACAAGTGTCACCAAAATATGACTAAGTCCACAACTTGGGATGAATTTGGTTAAGTCCACATTACCCGAAGGCTCCCAAACCCTACAGTTGGGATGAATTTGGTTAAGTCCACATTATCCGGAGTTTCAAAAAATACCAAAGGCATCTTTTAAAAGTCCACATTTCCGTGGCCAAGCTCCGAAGGCTCTTGCTATACAGCACTCTCCATCACAAACATGGGCTTAAATTTTCTAAATCCACACTCCAGTAGCCTCCGGTAGTACAATCAACACCGGGGGCTCCCTGTCTGCAAATGGATTATTTCCTAAGTCCACGACACCAGTTCCCCCGGGGACATATAACGAAGGCTAGATACTCCATACGGCTGATGGGACGTATCAGCCGACGGCTCTAAGGCAAAGCACTATTTGAAAAATTCCTAAGTCCCAAATCTCATGCCTCTAGTCTATGCTAAGGCATGTTCAACTTGTAGATCATATATCTAGAGGGGTCTGGCAACCGAAGGCTCAGTGGTAAAACTACACTTAGAAAGATTTTCTAAGTCCTGGAATGATTGGCCCTCGAAGGCTCAGTGGTAAAACCACACTTGAGAATTTTCTAAAGTCCTAAAACGATTGGCCCTCGGTCAACTCAACATACAACAAAAAGGCCAAGTGGTGAACAATGTTGGGGAGTTTTCTAAGTCCTAGACGTTGGGCCCTCGGCCAAACGTTTAGCCAGACATACATTCATGCATGAAGCAAAACAAAGCAGGGAATAACACAAAAGGCATTCATCAAAAGAAAAAGCAAATTCATGCATCACAAGGCCCGAGGGAATCATATATAGAAGAAAAGGAGGACAATGTTAAGTGTTTGTCACATCGGACGAAAGCTACAGAATGTTTTTACAAATTCAAAAATATTACAAGTACAAATTACTAAGCGGTTCCTTCATCAGCTGCTTTGGAAGTGGCGCCGCCCTCAGCATCATCTTCGTCACCACCGAGGCCACACTCCCTCAAGGTCTCAGAATCTTCTAGCACCGGCCTCTCTTCGCCTTCGGGGAGGGGGGCTTGATGTCTGGCTGCCGAGGGGGAAGGCCATAGGCCTCCGGCTTGAAGTCCATCGGGGATACATTGAAGTGGTGGGCCAGCTTCCGGTAAATGAGGCGTTGAGTAAAGAACCCCCTGCTCTGGTAGTAAGAGTCTCCCCTCTCCGCTAGCCACGTCTTGCCGGGACCTCCGACCCAGGCATCTACCTTCTTCTCCACAACCGAGGACACCCAGTCTTCTTTGTCCTCGGTCATTCAGCCCCCGGTCATGAATGCCTCCACAGCAGCTTTCCCAGCCTTGGCCACCTCCTCGGCCTTTGCCCTCTCAGCCTCCTCGGCGGCAACACGGGCGGCTTCGGCGGCTGCTTCCCCGGCCTCAGCCAGGCCCTCGCTCTTGCCTTCGGCCTTCGCAGCCCGCACTCGCTCTTCCATGCTTTCGGTGGCCAGGCGAAGGGAGTCCTCGACTTCAGTCAGCTTCTTTCTGAGGCTAGCAGCTTCCTCCTCAACGGCACCCCTGGCCTCCATCATATGCTCAACCCTCCGGACATACTCACAAAGTCCCTGAAGGCCTGCATCAGTAAAGGTGTAAGGGGTCAGACACAGTGCATACATTACCCCCCGAAAGCAAATGAACATGATAGGGAAAGGCAACTCATGGAGGCACTATTCTGAAGGATCCTCGACTGGAGGCCCTCATCATTCATCCGGACGAGAGACAGCCTGTCAGCCAAAGGCATCATTTGGCTCATTAGTGCCGAAGGCACGAGGTTACCCTCCAGGATCGAGGCCCCCTTCGGCACAATTGCCTCTAGCTTATGCCGACCGAAGAAGTCTTAGTGGACACACTCCTGAGGGATGGGGCTGGAGGCATGCCCCTTGTCCACGATGACAACGACATCAGCGGCCGGCTGCTTGCCAGAGTCCGCGACCTTCAGCTTCTTGGCCGGGGGCTCAATCCCCTTATGTGACACCCCCAAATTTTCCACCCAAAATAATACTTTGAAATAGAGATGAACTTTTATTTAATGATTAAAACTTCAAAAGTTGCAGCGGAAATTAATAAAAACTAAGTAAAAGGGGCATGTCACCGCCACATCCAATCCGTGAATGATTGGATGCTAAGGCTATCTACCAAAACACGAGTTTAACAAAATAAAGATGTTCGAATCATAAGAAAATATTAAAGTTTATTTCTAGTGAACTACATAGTTGTCTTCTAATTCGCGCTCTCAAAATTTGCAGCATCAAAATCAACATGATCACCTCCTGTTAAATACGAGCATAAGAAAAATAAAAGAAAACAGACATTAGCAATAATGCTAAGTAAGTTCCACCTAACCTTTTAAAATAATAATAAATAATATATATAAATTCGTACAACCTCATAAAATATTTTTCAAAACACTTTATAAATCATAAATCATAAGTAAACGATATCTATATAAAATCTCAATCACATAATTAACTCGTAAACCATAATAATTCCAAAATACATGAAACACCAAAATTCCCCTCTTTTGAATTTCTCCCAAAATCACTTTGTATCTAACTTCCTAGTAATTTAGAAGGGCGGTGCTCAACACTTTGGTTGAGCCCGGTGGATCGTTGTTATGTACGGCCACCCCGGAACTATCGCCGGTACCACAACTGCTCCTTGGAAACGGAAACAACTACTTTAAGTGTGCACACCCCCTAAAGGTATTCCAAGCCCTCCGGGTTAGTAAGTCGATCCGGGTAGCCGGGATGTTTTCTACCAACTACCCCACCTCAAAACCTGAATGATTAGGAGCTACTACTACCACTACTACTCAAAAGCCGGGATGTTTTCTACCGACCGACAATTCACCTCAAACCAACTCAAACCAAAAATTGGGTAGTAGTAGACCTAACCATCCTCCACATTTTAAGGGACGTGGAAAACCAACACCACGGATTTCTCTCGTGATGCTCACCCTTTATGAAAATAGTTATTTCTCTTTGTTTTCTCAAAATCAATCGAAGTTTATACTTCAAAAATTTCATTTTTCATTAAACTCCCACAAAGATAACAAATTACGTACTATTACAAAATCTTCCAAAATAACTCATATCAACAAACTAATATCTCAAATACAATCCTTTTATATAATAATATTCAAATTCAGCACACATAAATTCAATTCTCAAATAAGCACACAAAAATATTTAAAAGAAATCACGAAGAAAAAGAACTAATTTCGGTTGACGTGAAACTTACCTTAAATCCCGATGCTCCTAATTCTCTTCTTCAGTTCCGGTCTCTAAATATTCACCTTTTTAATTAAGATGATATAATTAGTCACTTATTCTCTTTGTAATTATTTTACCCGATTTTCTCCTTTTATTTTTTTATTCGAACTTATTAACTTAATTTATTAGTTATTCAAATATATTTGATTAATCACTTTTTATTAATCAAATTACCTTATTAATTCAGCCATTAATTACAATATTTGAATTCTAATATTAAATACAATATCCGAATATAATTAACTACAACATCCTATTTTTTACTCAATAACCACCATTAATTTACTCTACTCAAAAAATATTATTTAATTACTTTATTTATATTAACCCATTAATTTATGAGTTCAAATATTTTAAATATTTACATGAGGTCCGAATCTCTAATAATCAATCATAAAAATTAATAATTGAATTAGTCCACTAATTACATAATTAAGTTATTTATTAAGTCTACATGTAGTCAATTATTTATGCTAGCTAATCTAACCTTATTTTATTTTCCTTATTTTATTCCAACATCATTTTTTTGTCCAGAATATTATTTTCCAATCTCAGTGATTTATTTATTTCACCATTAATATTAATATTTCCTTATTTAATTATTTAACTAGTTTTATATGGCCCAATTAAATTAAATAGACTAAGAATCGACTTTATAAATTAAAAACCGTATATAAATATATTTTGGGTCTATATTTGACCTAGGTTGTCCAGATATCTATTTTATAATTATTTCCATAATTATTCATTTAATTTCATATATCTATTAACCGGTTCAATTACAATTAAATATACTAAATCTTAATATTTATTAATTATAAATGGTCCATAAGGTCCTAGTTAGTCATATATTTATCCTAGTTTACTCCAATATTTATTTCATAATTATTTTCGTTATTTAGTTAATTATTTACTAAATGTGTATAAATTGGCCCAATTACAATTAAATCAATTAAAAATAGCTAAAAATATTATTTTTCAATTCTGGTTGGTCCTAATATGTATATTTATACTAGGTATTTAATTTATATTTTTCCAGATTTTATTTATTTGATTTACTATTTTATTTTTAATTTTTATTAAAACTGGGCCGAACTGGCCCATTAAACCGACCCGGCCCAAGAGTTCTGACCCAGACAACTGGGTCATCTTCTCCTGGTCGATTCCGGCGACTTCGCCGGAAACTAGAAAACTCCGGCGAGCTATAACTTGACTTACAGATAACGGATTTCGACGATTCAATTTGCAAAATGATCCTTGCGGCGAGACGAAGCTCCTCCACCCCTATCTACGGCAAAATATCTGCTTTTTATAAAGACCCGCTTCCACAACTTGCAACTCCGGCGAGCGATATCTCTCTCGTTTCACGACCGTTTTCTACGATTCTTCTACCGTTGGATTCCTCTCACGAAGGAGAAGGTTTTTAGGTGAGTTTTGGTTTCGGTTATGGGTTATAACGAAGGGTCGAAAAATAGAGTGTGTGTGTGTGTGTGTGTGTGTATATATATATATATATATATATATATATATATATATATATATATATATATATATATATATATATATATATATATATATATATATATATATACGTGTGTATATATATAGGTCGCAGGTTTTGGGGATAAAGAAAACGCAGATTCGGCCTGCTATTTATAAGGGAAATATGAGGGGTTTAGGATGAGAGTTTGTGTTTAATTTGAACAGCTTCTTCCGCAGCTCCGTTCTTATCTCGTACGTGGTTGAGTTGGAGTTGGAGTTTATCTTCTTTTGGGGCTCTGTATGTGTTCGTGATTACGGCGAAACTCCTTACGTGAGTTCAGCTTAGTTCGTTGTTATACTAGTACTACGTATTGCTTGGCTTCGTTTGTAGTCCCAGTATTATTATACTATTGTATGAGGAGTATTTCATATTGTTATTACTAGCTAGTACACACATACGTATATTTACTTAATAGGGACCAAATATTTTACTTCTTATAGTTATTACTAGCTAGTACGTACATACGTATATTTACATAGTACGTGTATTATATATATATATATTTACTTCTTATGCGATATGTATAACTGGTACTTACGTGTTATAAAATATTATTTTCATTTTTAGGAAAAAAAACGTTACTTTTATTATCGGACCATTTTTATCATATTAAACATGTCACAATGATAAATTTTTGTCTGGTTTACTTATTTAATAAAATGTTGTCCCTATTACTGAAATATTTTTATCTGGCTAAAACGTCATAAATTATGAAATTTTATCTGATTAGAATGTTACAACTAGTGCCACTTTATCTTATTCACTTAATTATTAAAATCTTACTTTGGTAACCTTTTATTTCAATAGTAAAATTATTTTGTTTTTATTTAAATTTTTGAAGTGTCACATTCTACCTTTCTTAAAAGATGTTTCGTCCCGAAACATTAACTAAAATCAAATAACCAAGTTTTCAAGTATTACATTCTACCCCCCTTAAAGAGAGGTTACGTCCTCGTAACTAAAATTTTACCTTAATCGAATAACTCTGGGTAGCGTCGTTGTTCTCAATGTTGTTACTCATGGATGTCATTATTTCCTTGAAAAGTATGCGTATAAGAAATCTATCGGTATTCATAAATATTCTATTCTATCCAATAACTTACTAATCACGTAATGTATAAAGTTCTTCTATAAGTCCAACTTTATCCTCAAATAAACATATATGGATATGTCACACTTAAAAATATCTCAAGAAAATCAGAACAATCACAACCTCAATCGAAACCAAAATCAAAGTTTCAGAACCTCACCACGCGCCTAAAATTTTATTTTAGTCCTTGAAGCTCTTACTTATCGCCTAGTAATTTTTTTTTTAACCTAATATTTTGGAAAAACATTTTTGAAAAAATCCACCTTGAAAACCTTTAAGAATCCTACAAATTGTTAGAAACCTTTTTAGAAAATCAAAGCTAGGAAATTTAAGACCATAAGAAAACTTTAAAAAAAATTATTTAGAAAATCTTTTGGAAAAGTGATTTGAAAACTCCCCCCAGAAAAATCTTAGTCTCTGATACCAACTTGTGACACCCCCAAATTTTCCACCCAAAATAATACTTTGAAATAGAGATGAACTTTTATTTAATGATTAAAACTTCAAAAGTTGCAGCGGAAATTAATAAAAACTAAGTAAAAGGAGCATGTCACCGCCACATCCAATCCGTGAATGATTGGATGCTAAGGCTATCTACCAAAACACGAGTTTAACAAAATCAAGATGTTCGAATCATAAGAAAATATTAAAGTTTATTTCTAGTGAACTACATAGTTGTCTTCTAATTCGCGCTCTCAAACATTGCAGCATCAAAATCAACATGATCACCTCCAGTTAAATACGAGCACAAGAAAAATAAAAGAAAACAAACATTAGCAATAATGCTAAGTAAGTTCCACCTAACCTTTTAAAATAATAATAAATAATATATATAAATTCGTACAACCTCATAAAATATTTTTTAAAACACTTTATAAATCATAAATCATAAGTAAACGATATCTATATAAAATCCCAATCACATAATTAACTCGTAAACCATAATAATTCCAAAATACATGAAACACCAAAATTCTCCTTTTTTGAATTTCTCTCAAAATCACTTTGTATCTAACTTCCTAGTAATTTAGAAGGGCGGTGCTCAACACTTTGGTTGAGCCCGGTGGTTCGTTGTTATGTACGGTCACCCCGGAACTATCGCCGGTACCACAACTGCTCCTTGGAAACGGAAACAACTACTTTAAGTGTGCACACCCCCTAAAGGTATTCCAAGCCCTCCGGGTTAGTAAGTCGATCCGGGTAGCCGGGATGTTTTCTACCAGCTACCCCACCTCAAAACCTGAATGATTAGGAGCTACTACTACCACTACTACTCAAAAGCCGGGATGTTTTCTACCGACCGACAATTCACCTCAAACCAACACAAACCAAAAATTGGGTAGTAGTAGACCTAACCATCCTCCACATTTTAAGGGACGTGGAAAACCAACACCACGGATTTCTCTCGTGATGCTCACCCTTTATGAAAATAGTTATTTCTCTTTGTTTTCTCAAAATCAATCGAAGTTTATACTTCAAAAATTTCCTTTTTCATTAAACTCCCACAAAGATAACAAATTACGTACTATTACAAAATCTTCCAAAATAACTCATATCAACAAACTAATATCTCAAATACAATCCTTTTATATAATAATATTCAAATTCAGCACACATAAATTCAATTCTCAAATAAGCACACAAAAATATTTAAAAGAAATCACGAAGAAAAAGAACTAATTTCGGTTGACGTGAAACTTACCTTAAATCCCGATGCTCCTAATTCTCTTCTTCAGTTCCGGTCTCTAAATATTCACCTTTTTAATTAAGATGATATAATTAGTCACTTATTCTCTTTGTAATTATTTTACCCGATTTTCTCCTTTTATTTTGTTATTCGAATTTATTAACTTAATTTATTAGTTATTCAAATATATTTGATTACTCACTTTTTATTAATCAAATTACCTTATTAATTCAGCCATTAATTACAATATTTGAATTCTAATATTAAATACAATATCCGAATATAATTAACTACAACATCCTATTTTTTACTCAATAACCACCACTAATTTACTCTACTCAAAAAATATTATTTAATTACTTTATTTATATTAACCCATTAATTTATGAGTTCAAATATTTTAAATATTTACATGAGGTCCGAATCTCTAATAATCAATCATAAAAATTAATAATTGAATTAGTCCACTAATTACATAATTAAGTTATTTATTAAGTCTACATGTAGTCAAATATTTATGCTAGCTAATCTAACCTTATTTTATTTTCCTTATTTTATTCCAACATCATTTTTTTGTCCAGAATATTATTTTTCAATCTCAGTGATTTATTTATTTCACCATTAATATTAATATTTCCTTATTTAATTACTTAACTAGTTTTATATGGCCCAATTAAATTAAATAGACTAAGAATCGACTTTATAAATTAAAAACCGTCTATAACTATATTTTGGGTCTATATTTGACCTAGGTTGTCCAGATATCTATTTTATAATTATTTCCATAATTATTCATTTAATTTCATATATCTATTAACCGGTTCAATTACAATTAAATATACTAAATCTTAATATTTATTAATTATAAATGGTCCATAAGGTCCTAGTTAGTCATATATTTATCCTAGTTTACTCCAATATTTATTTCATAATTATTTTCGTTATTTAGTTAACTATTTACTAAATGTGTATAAATTGGCCCAATTACAATTAAATCAATTAAAAATAGCTAAAAATATTATTTTTCAATTCTGGTTGGTCCGAATATGTATATTTATACTAGGTATTTAATTTATATTTTTCCAGATTTTATTTATTTGATTTACTATTTTATTTTTAATTTTTATTAAAACTGGGCCGAACTGGCCCATTAAACCGACCCGGCCCAAGAGTTCTGACCCAGACAACTGGGTCATCTTCTCCAGGTCGATTCCGGCGACTTCGCCGGAAACTAGAAAACTCCGGCGAGCTATAACTTGACTTACAGATAACGGATTTCGACGATTCAATTTGCAAAATGATCCTTGCGGCGAGACGAAGCTCCTCCACCCCTATCTACGGCAAAATATCTGCTTTTTATAAAGACCCGCTTCCACAACTTGCAACTCCGGCGAGCGATATCTCTCTCGTTTCACGACCGTTTTCTACGATTCTTCTACCGTTGGATTCCTCTCACGAAGGAGAAGGTTTTTAGGTGAGTTTTGGTTTCGGTTATGGGTTATAACGAAGGGTTGAAAAATAGAGTGTGTGTGTGTGTGTGTGTGTGTGTATATATATATATATATATATATATATATATATATATATATATATATATATATATATATATATATATATATATATATACGTGTGTATATATATAGGTCGCAGGTTTTGGGGATAAAGAAAACGCAGATTCGGCCTGCTATTTATAAGGGAAATATGAGGGGTTTAGGATGAGAGTTTGTGTTTAATTTGAACAGCTTCTTCCGCAGCTCCGTTCTTATCTCGTACGTGGTTGAGTTGGAGTTGGAGTTTATCTTCTTTTGGGGCTCTGTATGTGTTCGTGATTACGGCGAAACTCCTTACGTGAGTTCAGCTTAGTTCGTTGTTATACTAGTACTACGTATTGCTTGGCTTCGTTTGTAGTCCCAGTATTATTATACTATTGTATGAGGAGTATTTCATATTGTTATTACTAGCTAGTACACACATACGTATATTTAGTTAATAGGGATCAAATATTTTACTTCTTATAGTTATTACTAGCTAGTACGTACATACGTATATTTACATAGTACGTGTATTATATATATATATATATTTACTTCTTATGCGATATGTATAACTGGTACTTACGTGTTATAACATATTACTTTCATTTTTAGGAAAAAAAACGTTACTTTTATTATCGGACCATTTTTATCAGATTAAACATGTCACAATGATAAATTTTTGTCTGGTTTACTTATTTAATAAAATGTTGTCCCTATTACTAAAATATTTTTATCTGGCTAAAACGTCATAAATTATGATATTTTATCTGATTAGAATGTTACAAGTAGTGCCACTTTATCTTATTCACTTAATTATTAAAATCTTACTTTGATAACCTTTTATTTCAATAGTAAAATTATTTTATTTTTATTTAAATTTTTGAAGTGTCACACCTTACCTCCGTTCTTTTTCTTTAGGGCCCCCTTGCCGTTGGAACTCCCGACACCGGCACCGGCGGCAGCAGCTTGGGAGGGCTCCTCCCTGGGGGAAGCACCCACCGGTTTCGGACCAGAAGGTTGCTTCTTCTTCCCCTTCGTCTTCTTCAGAGCAAAAAGGGAGTTCACGTCCATATTATTACCTGCAAAGACACGACACCAAATGATTAGGCCGAAGGGGATCAACTACAGTGACATGGATTGAACACAAAAAAATCTAAGTACAAAACAGATAACCCATCGGTAATTAGCTCTGATACTCTAAAATACACGATCTATCGGAGGGTATCTTTCATCCTCCGAGCCCCTCGGCCGATATTGCTGAAAGCCGAGCTTGAACAGATCATCTGGAAGGGTAACATCTTTGATCTTCACATGCTTCTCGGACCCCTCCGGCTTCTTGGCAAGTATCTTGCCGTTCTTCTCAAGGGCTGCATTCCCTACCTTCAGATGCCACCGAAAGTTGTTACGAAGTGGGGCCGGGAATGGGTTTTCCGCCGGACAAAGGTAACAAAACTTGTCCTTCCATCCCTTGTGGGATGAAGGCACATCATCCAAAAGCCTAAACTCAGGGACTTGCTGCAAGTTGGCGAAGCCCCTAGCATTCGAATGCCCCCCCCCCCCCCCCCCCTAGCATAGGTTGAAAGACAGGAAAAACTGGTCCAAGGTGGGTGGCACTCCTCGGCTCCGACACAGGGAAAGAAAGTCGGGTATGTATCCGAGCTCTCACTTTCAATGTGACAAATATGCAACAAAATATGTCACAATGCTCGCAAGAAGCAGTGTCCAACAAACAGAACTTGGACAATCAGTTGAAACAAATGCCAAGCATTGTGAACCACATGGGCGAGGAGGAGGAAGAAGAGGAGCTTACGGAGAAAGCTCAACCGGAGGAGGAACCTGAAAACTCAACTCAACCACCGGCCATTCCTAAGATCATGCCACCATTTCCTGAGGCTCTAATGGAAACACAATGGGTGGAGAAGGACAAAGATATCTATGAAATTTTCAGCAAGTGTGAGTATAATTTAGACTTCTCTTTGTTCACAAATAAGCAAGGAATAACGGTGGGATTACACAAATATTTCATACTCCCTCTTACACCACCCGGATCAAAACCCCTTCCATTGACCATGCTTAATGAAAATCATGGACCAACACTCTCACAATATGAAGCGATAGAAATCTGGATATTTGATCCCGGAAAGGTCAAAATAAAGGGTCGAAAAACTGAGTCTTTCTATAAGAGTCACCCGGGTGAAAATTTGAAGAAGATGAGTTATCACGATCCAAGCTTGAACGATTGAACACAACCATGGCGTCGTGCCACGACGTTAACTAAGGCGCTTCTTGGGAGGCAACCCAAGCAAGATACGTTTACTTGTTTTATTTTATTTTTACACATTTCAAAAAATAATGGACTGGGATTGGACCCGGCCGGGTATAAACCCTAACCCGGTCGGGTTACTTCTAAAAACAAAACACCCGGGCAATCACCCGGGCGAGGCATAAGCAAAACAAGAATAAATTTTTCGCCCGATCGGGTACACTTCCATACCTAGCCGGGCAAGCCAGCAAAAACCTTCTGCCTCGAGTGAAGAGTTTACGCCTGACCGGGTACACTACCCCACCCGGCCGGGTATCTCGATTTTTGGAAACCAAGCCATTTCTCAAAAAAAAAAAATGAACCACCCCCCTTTGTCTTCCCTTTCAAACCACACCCCAAATTTCCTCCATTTCCAAAAGTCAAAAGCTTCATATCTCCTACATCCATCCACCAATTAAACCCATTTCATTCATCACCTCTTCACCCTTTTCATCTCCACACCCACGAATCACCAACAAAACCTCCCAAAAAGTATCCAAAAAAAACACATTCATCTTAGACACAAGCACTAGGGACAGTGCTTTGATTAGCTTGGGGGAGAATTTTATGGAATACTCACATTCATACTCTTTATTCTTGTAAAAAAAAATTATAAAAGCTTGTTAAGTTGAAAGCCTGAAAGGGCAACTTAAGCAAAAATAAAGCAAAAATAAGAGTGAGTTGTGAGGATTAAAACAGAAAAATGTGGGAAGTTGGGATGAAAACCCGAAAGGGCACCTAGGCAAAATGAGAGAACGAGAGAAAGTATTTTCTTTTATTTCTGCAGGATCCTAAGGGTAATGAAAAAAGAAAAAAAAGAAGGTTGAGGTTGATAAAGAAATATGGAGTTGAAGACCCTCTTTACTATTATATTTCTGGGGATTTACTTTATGTGTTTCTAAAAACACTCGTGGATGTGTGTGTTGATATTCTTGTCATTTTAAGGACTTCTTGGATCGGATTTGATTTACTCGAGACGAGTAAAGGTTTAAGTGTGGGGGTGTTTGATGCACACTAATTAGTAGTGCATAATTACATGTTTTTATGTTTGATTTATGTTAATTGTTTGACGTTTTATTTAGTTTGTAAACATTTGTGTGATTTCAGTTGTAATTGTATTTTAGTCTTTATTTGTAAGTTGTAAAGTTTAGTTAGGATTTGTGGTGTTGGAAAGGAAGACTTTGAAGTGAAGAAAAAGAAGATTTGGCTGCCCAGGAGCAAATACCCGACCGGGTATAACACTTGACCCGGTCGGGTAAGAAGTGAAAAACGAAAATGCAAAGAAAGTGCATGGCCCGGTCGGGCCCGCTACCTCACCCGGTCGGGTGAGAAGTGACCGGGGACAACCCGGTGTGCAAAGATCACCCGAACGTGAAGAATATCCAATTTTTGCACTCACTCGGTCGGGTCCCCTACCCCACCCGGTCGGGTCTGACTTGACCCGGACACTTTAACATGTCGAAGATCGCCAGAACGTGGAGGATATTTGATTTTGACATGCACCCGGTCGGGTAAGTACTTTACCCGGTCGGGTACCCGGCCAAAGGTGTTGAAAAACACCTATAAATAGCACTCTTTTTCTTCCCTAAAAATTATCCTTTCTTCCATACTCTTTAGCTCAGTTTAGAATATCATTTCTTTATATTTTTCTAGCTATGTTTAGTCTCCAAATGAGGAGCTAAACTTCCATTCTTGGTGTTGCTCTTGAAGCTTGTTGATTATTAAAGTTGTGAGTTATTTTCTTAACTTCTTTCCTTGAATATTAATTAATAGTTCTTTCCTTAATATCATCTCTATATTAATGTTGGGGAGTGTTGCTAAGATGACAATTAGTTAACATCTCGACATTAGTTAGAATGATGTTTTCTTCCTCTATATTAATGTTGGGGAGTGTTGCTAAGATGACAATTAGTTAACATCTTGATATTAATTATAGTAGGATTCATCTTCTTTAATAATATTCTTCCTTGAATATTAATTAATCCCTACTCTTATTTCATATTAATATTTTGAACATTACTTAAAGGATCAACTAATATTGTTTCATATATTAATTATTACTAGAAACGATCAACGAACCGATGGTTAATCGTTGATGGTTTCACAAGTAAGTAACTTCGGTTTATTAATGCACGGTCGTGGTTAATAAACTTAAGAGGGATTAATTTTGTTGGTTAAACCGAAACCGCTTGTGTTGAGGTTATCAATCTCAATTGATTTCATCAAGGAGTTAGAAAGATTAAATGCTACTATTAAATCGGTATAAGGCGTTGTTCTATATTTGATTAATAGTAAGGGTTATTAATGAACGGTCGTTGTTAATAACTACCCTCGATGAAGTGGATATACTCCCCGATTGAGTATTCGAGAGGGAATAAGTTATAGATATAACAATGATCGACTAAAATATATCAACAAGTGGAAAGTAGCAATGCCAAGTCCTTTTTATCTTTGAATTAAACACATATAGGTTGTTCATCTTAGTTCTTAATTAAATTAAATCACTCAATCCAAATCCCCCCTGTTCATCATAAAAAGAGAATTATTCCTTTCCCTGTGGATACGAACTCTACTACGCTATACTACGTATAAGTGTTAGTATTGAAAATTATTTTGACGCACCGTGACAAAGTGCTCGTCATACACTAAGGAAGCAGAGAATGGAGCAAGAACTGACCTTGGAAACTTG